CTTTGCAACGAGAATAAAACACATTCAGAAACTTTCTTTTTGACCCACTTAAATATAAGCTTGACCGGACTTGTAATGCATATATTCAACAATAAATTCGATATTTTAGTTATATCCACATCGTGGAAAAAACACTTTATCGAAGAAATAAAAAGTCTGTAAAAAATAGTTTGTATTAATTTTTAGTGACATGGTAGTACACAATGCATACCATTATATATCCGTACCACATGGGTACACCAACACAACAAGTGTGTCACCTTAACATATGCTCACTGAAATAAAAGCCGACACCAAATCTCTGACACATATATGTATGCGTGCTTGGAATATTTGTGGGCTCGGTATATAAATTCATATACAATCACACATATGCATACGTGTGGCCATTAGGATTTAAATCGAGTGGAATTGTCCTTATTTTTAGCATTATTCTTATTTTTTATTTAAATAAATAAATCTTTTATGAGAGTACAATCAAGAGGGACAACCATTTGAGCAAAGTGTAAGAACAAAACCTAACAGGAACAGAGGATAAATAGGCTTATCCATCTATGAATTCTAGATGTTCAATAGACCTTTGTCAATGAAAATACAATGGTAAGAACAAATAGATAGAAAAACTTAATAAAATAAAGACTTATGTTGGATTATCATGACATAAATTCAGTAAAAAATAGCCTTAAGAAAGAGGCAAATTATTTATAAATAGTTAGACAATAATACACCAATATATAGAGATGCGCTAAAACATATGTTGTATGCGTAATAACTACGACGCAGCCCATACATAGTATTTTTTTTACTACACGCTATATGTTTCTCAAACACCTTATATTTAAAATTTTACTAGTAGGCTTAATAGGAGGATTTGTGATGATTTCACTCTCTAAAAGAATTACTAACATTGGACGCGTTTTAACTATAGCGTGTCGGCATAATATAGTATGTCTATATATATATTTAATTATTTATTAGGTCTAGATTTTGATATTATCCGATAAGACAAAAATAAAGACTCCTAACCGATTGTAATTTTGGCAATTATCAAATAAAACATAATGCAAAATATATGCCAGCAGGATAGTTTATATAGTAGTATTTCACAAATTGTACTAGTTGTATGGAAGATAAAACCTATATTTAATACCCATTGGTAATCCTTTTGCTGGCTCAACCCATTCATAAATGTTTCCTAGAATATTCTCGTAGGATAACATAGTATTTATTAGTATCCTACGAGATTTAATAGTACAGCCGACTGATGGCTCCAAAAATAACGCATCAATATACTAGAGATAGTGCTAAGAATTAGTGCATACAATATGCTATCTGTACATAGTTCCCAATAACTGTGTACCTAGTAATCCTCTACGTTCGGATACATCATAGAGCTATAGCCGAAACCACGCTGGCAGACTAGTAGGGGTCGGTGCCCGAAGCAATAGATAGGAAATTACCTTTTCTTAGCGTAGATAATTAAAATAGATAGAAAGTCCTCTCTAGCCTTGCCTGCCAACCATCAGTTGTTGTCCTTGGATAGTCTTAGCCTTAGATTACACACGTTCCCTGAGTTCGATATCCTTTTGGGGTCACTCGAAGGTGAAGTACTACAGCGGTATTTCGTGTGCTTGCGGATTTATCTGTGGTCGTAAGAAATACCAATAAGCATTTCTGGCACCGTTGTCGGGGAACGATTGCTAATTTATCCGAGTCTAGATCATCCTTGTATCTTTATTTTTATTTCTTCTTCTTTTATTCCTTGATGGAGCAACCCACAATTCAAAACCTTTTTGCTCCTCGGGCTGATCTTTGTGAGCCGTCCTGTTCTTCAAAACCAATCCTTTCGGATGGCTACGAAATCAGTCCTGGCTTTATAGCCATGTAGCCATGGTTCGAGAGCAAACCTTCTCTAGTGGTATTAGTGAAACCCATACCTCCATCTTCGGGACTTTGAGCTAGTGTGTTCATGCCTATCCATCGTAGGCATGACACATGAAACTCTATAGTGGAAGTTGTTTCCTTTTTCTCTTAGACAAGAAGCGAAGAAATGGTACACTCTGTCTGTTAAGAAATTCCACGGTGAATGAGAGGAGCTTAAGTGCAAGTTCTGCCTTACTTTCTTTCCATTAACCCATATAATCAATCTTCAATTAGACATCCTTTCTTTCCAATAGAACGAGAAGGAATCTCTCGGTGCAGCCTAGGCCAGGTTCTCACTGTTAATTCAATCTGGCCCAGACTTGTCTTTACCCGACCATGTGTTGCTGCAACATTTCGGTACGGGTTAGACAAGGAGTCTGCTACAAATCTCGATATTTCCGTGGGAGGATCATTCGCATACAAGATAACCGCCGAAGGAAGAGAACTCTTAGATCTGATCTTAGAGAACGATTCTTTCGGCCGAAGCGAAGTCGTCCCGGAGGTCGAGATTATCCATGAGGAACCTCTGCATGTGGAGTCGGAACCCGACTCAATTGCTGAATCCTCATCCCAGTCGCAGGAGCTGGAGGAAGAAGAAATTCATCCTTCAGAAATTCCATTCGAATTCGAGGAGAATCTTTTCAAATTTTGTTGGAACACCTCAAATTATTCCTGCGAGAAGAGACCACCGACCAAGGTCAATTCTGATGAACCTCTCGATAAAGCTATGCTTAAAGAGACGGTGAAGAAGTTGACCACCATCATGAGTAACAAATGGTTGAGGGAAGGAGAGCTCTCATCTGAAGCAACTCAGATCCGTTGCCCCTCCTCAACCGTTACGTATCTCATTGGATGTAATTTGGTTCGTGCTCTCTATTATCCCTCTGTTGGTGCCAATGTTATGTCCGCAACCTTTCCATTTGATTGCTTAGGGTATAGACCGTTAGAACCAACCGTCAAAACCGTTCGAATTTCCACAAACTCTACTACCGAAGGTTTAGGGATTATCTCTAGAGTGCCCATACGGCACAACAGCGTTGAGATTTTCATGTGTTCAATATCTCTGATTTTGACATACTCATAGGCCATCCCATAGAGAAACTCTTAGATATGCCCGAAACTAGTGTCCTCGACCTGAAAGTAGGAAGAAACGGCACCTTTGTCTCTGTGTTGCAATCAACCAATTCTTTGACAGAGCCTCTTCCTATTCCCAAGTCAATTGAGGAAGTGATGGCCATTTCTCCATTTGAGCCCCTAGACTCTAATCTCGATGAATCCATCAAGGAATTCAATGAAGGGGATGATGAATATGAAGAAACGATTGATCTACCAAAAATGGATCAGCAGTCACGAGCCCCAATTGAGCTAAAGCCCTTGCCTCCAGGCCTACGCTATGCATTTCTGAACGGCGATTCGGAGCCCTAGTCATTATAAGTTACAAACTCTCTAAGAAGGAGACGACCCGACTTATCACCGTTTTAGAAAAGCATCGTGCTACTTTTTGCTATTCCCTCCCAGACTTAAAAGGCATCAGTCCGACCCTTTGTACTCATCGCATTCCCATAGACCCATCTTGCACACCATCTAGGAAACCTCAGAGGAGGTTAAATAATGCGATGAGGGAGATCGTTGTTGGTATTTCTTAACGACATTAGTAGAAATATAATTCCCAGCAATAGCACAGAAAAACTCCTGGTATATTGTTGTTACAGAGTTTATCCGCAAGTGCACAGATATACCATTGTAGCATTTCATCCGAGAGTATTCCAAGGGTATCGTATTTGATTAATCCCGTGGGAAGATTGTAGTAGAGAGAACCGTACTAATAATTTATATGTTACTTGTAATAATTATAGTCTAACACTACTAGAAAACTCATTTTCAGCGTCGTAGGGGTCCGATTTTCGCAGGCGGGCATATAATTTGGAGCCAAAACCCCGCCGGCAAAAAATGTACCCGGGGTGGATGGGGCGGTCCGCCTGCGAAGATCGATATTTGCAGGCGGACCATATAAGCGACGCTTGCGAAGATCAATCTTCGCAGGCAGCAGGCATCGTGCGCCTGCGAAGATCGATCTTCGCAGGCGCCGCTTATATGGCCCGCCTGCAAAGATGCCCCTATATAGTCTTCTTCCTCCCCGAGCCTTGTTTATTCTCCCCAAAGTTTCTCTCTCCTAAAGTGACTTAAATATAGGGGGGAGGTTTTGAACTTCAAATCTTCGGGGGATTTTTTTCTACGGTGCTTAGATCTACTCATTTCCACACTAGGTATGTAATTTTTTAAGCTTTTAGACCTCAATTTGTGATGGATTTATGCATGCAAAATTGTGAAGGAAAAGCTCCATGTTTTTTAATTTAATTTCTTTTGATATGTTGATGTTAGATGTATGTGTAATACTTGATGCCTCTTGTTGTAGTGGTTTAATGTGGTAACATAAATTCTCAATTTTTTTTATTTTGCTATCACATCCACCTCCTAGTTCTAGATCTAGATCTAGATCTTGTCATATATATATATATATATGAGAGAGAATAAAATTTTTAATGTCTATTTATTTGGTGCAATCAAAAAATAATTATATTAGTTTGTAATATGTCGATGATATGATTTTGTTAGGTTTTCCTAATATACTAACTTGGCATGTCTGTGTAAAAAAATGAAATAAACTTTTTTTTATTAATTTGCAATTAACCTTCAGTTAGTTTGGAAGAGCGATATGTTTTTTTTCAATAAACCCTGCAAATTTGGTATTAATAGTGCAAATATTTTATGTTCATTTTTTTAGAGATATGGAAAGTCGGGAATGGATGTATCATTGGTTGAGGTTTTTGTCTTCATATAGAGATGAAGTGTCTAAATATATTGGTATTGCGAAGGCACATGCTGAGAAGAACAATATGAGGAAGATAATTTGTCCATGTGCTGACTGTAATAATGAAATAGCCTGGGAAAATGCTTATAAAGGGAAGGAGCACTTAGTAACTTGTGGATTTATGGACAAGTACGAAATATGGACATATCATGGTGAAGAATAAGTGGACGGGCCTGAAAATGTAGTTCCGACACAAGTTGAAGACATGGTGCACGATGATGGTTCTGTTGTTGACAAAATCGATATAGAGGAAATGTTACGTCATGCAGAACCCGAGGTGCTGATGGGGTCGGCTAGAGGTTTAAATAATTTTGATGCTTTACAGAAGGCAGCTAAGGAAGTTCTGTACGATGAGTCGAAGGGCTGTGACAGCGAGTTCACAACACTACGGTCAATTCTTTAACTTATGAGGTTAAAGGCGAGGCATGGATGGTCTGATACCAGTTTCGATAGTCTTTTAGAACTTCTGCAGAAAATGCTCCCGAGGCCTAACTCACTACCATCTAGCACATATCAAGCGAAGAAACTCATATGCCCCCTTTCACTTGGTGTGGAAAAGATTTATGCGTGCGTTAATCACTTCATACTGTACAGGAAAGAGTACGCTTCTTTAGATGAATGCCCAACATGCGCTGCTAGCCGGTATAAATCGAATAGCAATACTGGCCTAGAACCGTCTGGCAGAACTGAGGGAACTCAGAGAAAAATCCCGCAGCTTGTGATGTGGTACCTTCCTGTCAAAGACCGCATTAAACGGATATACTCAAATCCGCGAGATGTGGAACTAATGCGTTGGCATGAAGAAGGACACAAGAAGGATGGGATTATTCGACACCCGGCAGATGCTCGTCAGTGGATAAACTTTGATGCTCAGTATAGAGAGTTTGCTAAGGACCCACGGAACATTAGGTTTGCCCTGAGTACTGATGGAGTTAATCCTTTTGGAGACATGAGCAGCTCACATAGTACTTGGCCAGTGCTTCTAACTATGTATAATCTTCCTACCTAGCTTTGTCAAAAGCGAAAATACGTACTACTCTGTATCCTTATACAGGGACCCTGTCAGCCTGGTATTGATATTGACGTATTTCTTGAACCATTGTTGGAAGATATGGCAGATTTATGGAAGGAGGGATTGAAAGTGTGGGACGAGTACTTAAGAGAATACTTCACAGTGAAGGTCATCATCTTTGTGACCATTAACGATTATCCAGCAATGTTTTCAGTTTTAGGTCAAATTAAAGGTAAAACAGGATGTGTGATCTGCTTGAATGGAATGTACTATACGTATCTCCCGGGTTCCAACAAGTTTGTGTACATGTGGCACCGGCAGTTCCTACGCACAAATCACAGGTACCGCAAGATGAAGGCGGAGTTCGATGGCACTGAAGAGACTGATCCTGCACCAAAACCTACATCTGGAGAAAAAGTGTGTGCAATGATAGAGAAAATTGTTTGCGAATTTGGAAAAGTGACTAAGAAACCATCAAAGGGGACAAAGCGCAAGAAACCCGAGAAGACTAAGAAACCAGAGGATAGTAAGAAGCAAGATGATAGTACGAAGCTAGATGATAAACTCCCTCCCCCATTCAAGAAGCATTCCATATTCTTTAAGTACCTCTCGTACTGGAAAGATCTGGAGGTTCGGCATGCCATAGACATCATGCATCTAGAGAAGAATGTGTTTGACAACATAGTTGGAACATTGTTGGACATGCCGAAGAAGACTAAAGATGGTCTGCAATCACGGATGGACCTAGTCGAGATGGGAATCAGGGAAGAGTTACACCCTCAGGAAGGAGAGAAGAATGGCAAAGTATATCTTCCACCAACCTGTTTCACACTGACTCCTGAGGAGAAGTCATTTTGCAAATCACTCCACGATGTCAGAGTGCCCATAGGTTTCTCATCAAACATCAGTCGACTTGTTTCCATGAAAGATTTATCGGTATCTGGTTATAATTCACATGACTATCATGTCTTCCTCAACGTGTTTCTTGCAATTGCAATAAGGGCCATAAAACCGGAACATTTAAAGGTTGCTATCACAAGGTTGTGCTACTTTTTGAACGCACTGTCACAGAAGGTCATTAGTCTCGAAGAGTTAGGAAATCTCCATACATTCGCACATGAGATATAGTGCCAACTTGAGATGTGTTTCCCTCCGTCATTTTTTGATATGATGGAGCACCTCATTGTTCACATAGTGCCGCAGATGGTTGCACTTGGCCCATTGTACCTCCATCAAATGTGGTCATACGAGCGTTACATGGCGGTTTTGAAGGGTTACGTCCGAAATCGTGCACATCCAGAGGGATCAATGGTTGAGGGTTATAGTACTGAAGAGGTTGTCGAGTACTGTATCGATTACCTCAAAGATGGATATGTAATTGGAGTACCTGTGCACCGACACGAGGGCAGATTGAGTGGCAGGGGAACGATAGGAAAGAAGAGATTCGTCACCCATGATCACAAATCATTCCAAGAAGCTCACTTCAGTGTGCTTCATCAGTTTGCTATCGTTGAGCCTTACATCGATCAACATATCGAATTAATACGAGCTAACAATAAGAGTCACACCACCGAGTGGATAATGAAAGAACACAAGCGTCTCTTCATAGATTGGTTGCGAGACCTAGACTTACCTGAGGGACAAACTACCGATGAAATAACTATAAAGCGGTTGGCTTGTGGTCCATCAACTATAGTAAATTCTTGGCAGGGATATGACATTAATGGATACTCGTTTAGTACAAGAGCCCGAGATAATAAGACCTGTACGCAAAACAGCGGTGTCCGTGTGGAGGCAATTGATGAAGCCGAGGAAAAACAATCATACTTCGGGTTTAGTGAAGAAATATGGGAAATCGACTATGGGCACACAATGCAATTCCCCATATTTAAGTGCCAGTGGGTAAAATACCCGAACGGGGTCAATGTTGATAAGTTCAGTCTTACTGTTGTTGACCTTGCGAGTGTGGGTCACAAGGATGACCCTTGGGTACTTGCCAATCGCGTGGCACAAGTGTTTTATGTGAAAGACCCTTCAAATTTGAAGAAAGATATAGTGCAACCAGGGAAACAAAAGATATTGGGAGTGGATAGGGTTGAAGATGTCGAAGATTACAATCAATACGATAGTATGCCACTTTATAGTCAGTTTGTACAGAAGATTAAGAATGTTGAGACATCTACTCAGAAGACTGTGAAGCCTTACATGCGCACGGACGGTGTGGGAAAAAATGTTAAAGGGTAGTGATGGTTGAGTGGCATGTAAGCATATAAGAAGTTATTAGTTATGTGATGGTGGTATGTAAGATGATGTGTGATCATATCGCAAATTGACAAACAATTCTACTCAACATTTTGCATATTAGTTTGTACTAATTTTGATGTGCAATTACCATTTGTAGGGTAACATTTACAGTTTTTTATATTTTAAAAGTTTTTCTAAAAAGAGGTTTAAAAATTTAGTAGCAATTTTTTATATGCACTTACCATTGTTTGAAAACTTGTTAAAATATTAAATTAGTAATATTAATGTTTCAAACATTTAAGTAAGATTTACATTTCAAAAGTAATAATACTAAGGTTTGTATATTTTGTAACAATATTAAGGTTTGTATATTTTGGAATAAATATATTCAACTCTGTACCAATCTTCGTAGGCGCGTGGTTCGCCTGCAAAGATTGTTATACTGAGTAGGGTTTACATCTTCGCAGGCAGACGGCCCGCCTGCTAATATAGTAAAAACGATCTTCGCAGGCGGACAGCTCGCGTGCGAAGATCATCTTCGCAGGCGGACCGCCCGCCTGCAAAGATCGTTGCCCTATATAAAGGCAAGCCCGTGGCGCCAAAATTTCTAAGTCCAGGCGGGAACCCTAGAAATTTTGGCGCCGTCAGGCTGCCGAATTTTTTCACCGCCGCCCGCCTGCGACCTTCACTCTCCGACCATCGTCCTCCGCCGCCGCCGATAGTCGTCGTCCGCGCGCCGCCGACCTTCGAGGTCGCGCCGGCCGCTCCACCGCTGAGCTCCACTGTCACGCCCTGAAAATCGCCTAATTTAATAATTCATTCTTTAATTCATTTTTAGAAATTATTTTAAAAAGCTTACAAGTTAAACTCTAATAATCTAGGAAAAAGTGCAACATAAAATTTAGCTGGAATTTTAACTTGGCTTATTTATATGTTTCCTGGAATTTTCTAGGATTTATTTGAGCAAGGGATGTATTTTTTTAAATGAAACATCATTTCACAAATTATTTTAATTGAGAAAGTTTAAAAAACCCTCTTCTAAGCCGTTGGGCTGTTTCCAGCCCAACTCTTCTCCCTCCCCTTGTGCTGTCGAGCGGCCCAAGTCGGCCCAAGCCGATCTGCCCCTCTTTTCCCCTCCTCTGCCGCTGATGGGTGGGGCCCACCTGTCAGGGCCATCTTCAACCTCAGGCCGGCCAAGCCAAGCCGAGCTGTTGCCGCCTCCCCTTTGAATCCGCCTCCATCGGTTGCTCCCGAGTCCAATTGGTTGAGGGGATTTTATCTCCTCCTCATCTTCTTCCTTTCCCCTAAAGTTTTGGAGATCAATTTTGGCTGGATAAACCTAATCAAATTCATTTTCGAGTTTATCTCTCCAAACTAACTCTAGGATTTTCCGGCTCAAAACCTCTCGTTTGGAGTCTGATTTCTCTCACCCATGCCTATATAAAGCATCCCCTAGTCATTCTATTCCGTTTGCCTCAAGTCCAAGCCGCGTGAGCCCTAGCGTCGCCGTCGCTGCTTCAGCCGCGCCGCGCAACTGCTGTGGTCGTCGCTGTCACGTCCTGATAAATTCATCCCGAAATTAAAAATCATTTTCTAAAAGGAATAATAGAATTAATTAAAATTCGAAAAGAAATTGGCAAACACTAAAATACGTACAAGAAAAATTCGAATGTGGCCCGGAGAATTTTTGTTAAATTCTCCTTGGTCTAAAAGGAGCCCTCAAATTTTACTTGAATTTTCAGAGCACCGGAAACAATTATTAAGCAACAAAAACAATTATCAAAGTTTATTAAAAAGAAAACCTAAAAATAATCCCCCTCCTCCCTTTGGGCCAAGTCTGGCCCAAAACCTCCCTCTCTCTCTCTCGGCCCGCGGCCAAAGTCCTCTCTTCCTCCCTCTATTCCTCTCCCTCTCCTCCTCTCCCTCCTTCTCTTGGGCCTCCTCTCCTTCCCCTCGGCCCACTCCCTCCTCCTCCCTCTTTCCCCCAGGCCGCCTCCCCCTCCTCTCCTCCTAGGCCGGCCGCCCGGCCCAAGCCGCGCCCAAGCCAGGCCGAGCCGAGCCAGCCGTGCACACGCGCGCCGCGCGTGCGCTGACCGCGCGCCCGACCGCGTGGGGCCCACGCGCCGGTCGTCTCCTTCCTCCCGCCCGGCTCCTCTCTCTCCCGTGAAACCCTAGCTCGCTCCCTCCTCCAAATCCGCCTCATTCAAACCGAGGATTCCAAAATTAAGTGGGGGGTTTTAATCCCCATTAATTCCTCTTCAATTCCCCCCAATTTCCCCCTTGAATGGCGCCCCCAATCGTCGGGAACGGACGCGTCTTTCCCGGCCGCCTTCTATGGCCGCCGGCCGTGTTTCCCGTCGCCGTTCCGCCCTCTCCCATACCCGGCTTGCTTCCCTCCACTATAAAATGGAACCCCCTCCGTGCGTTCTCTCGTTTTAGCCCCTTCCCGAGCTCCCCCGTGGCCGCACCACCTCTCCCCGCCTTCTCCTTCTCTCTCTCCGGTGTCGGCCGGCCTCCAGCCGCCTCTCCCTCCTCGCCCGAGCGCCGTCCGGCCGTGCCGTCGCCTCCTCCAGCGTCGCAGCCGCCTCCTCTCCACCGGCCTGCCCTCCGTTTCGCGCGGTGACCGCCGGAGGCGCGTTCCCGCCGTCGTCCAGTGGCGTTGCCGCCACTGTACCACCTCCAGCCGCCCCTGCCGCGCCGCTCAGGTGCGGGCCGGCCGCGCCGTCTCCTTCTTCAGCGTCGCCGCGTCGACCTCCACCCCGGCCTGCTCTCTGATTCGTCCGGAGACCGCCGTCGCCCGCGCCGGCCTCTCCATCCTCTTCGTCGCCGGCGTCCCTTCGGCCGCCCCTTCCTCCTCCCCGGCTCGTCGGCTCGCTGCGCCACCACCACCCCCGGCATTGCAGCGGCAAGGTCGCCCTCGGCCTCGCCTCCCCTTTGTCCAAACCCCTCCGCGGTCCATCGTCGTCGTCTCCGTTCGTTCTCGTCGTCGACGTCCCGTCGCTCGCCCGGCTCGTCGTCTGGCTGCGCTGCCATCGTCGTGGGCATTGCTGCGGCGTGTCCCTCGCCGTCCTCACCTCCGTGCAGCTGCTGCCGGCTGCCCTCGTCGCCTCCTCGCCGGCCCCGGTCGTCGTCGTCGTCGTCCTCTCGTCGTTCCGGGTCGTTGTGGCGTTCGTCCCTCCGTCGAGCCGTCCTCGTCCGTCCTCGGTGTTTCGTCAAGGTCGCTGCAGCCCCCGTCGTCGTCTTCGTCCTCGGCTCCGCGTCGTCAAGCCTCGTGCCGGCCGCGTCTCGCCTTCATCCAAGGATCGCCGCCGAAGTCGTTCCCTCGCCGTCCGTCTCCGCCGCGCCCGTTCGTCGTTGTCGTTCCCTCGCCTCGTCGCGTGGTGGTAAGGATCTCTCCTCTCGCTGCCCCGTCCTCATCCTTTCGGTGTCGCCCGTGCCCGTCGTGCGGTTGTCGACCCCGGTACCCGTGTACCGGTGTCGGTAGTCGTTCGCTTGTGCGTGTGGTGACCGTGTTAGTGTGCCCGCTCGGTAGCCGCGTGGTTTCCACGTGTGCAGCCCGTGTGGTGTCTAGTGGAGTCCGTTTGTCGGCCACTCGCCTAGGTTGACACACGGGATCTGCTTCCGTCAACCCGTGGACCGTCTCTGTGTACTCGGTCTACCGCGGTCCTTTAGGTTGACATGTGGGGTCCGCATGTCAACGGCGCAGCCTTCCTGTCTTTTCCAGGCTAGCGCTTACACATGTTTTATAGTTGCAAAGCTTAATTATAATAATCCGCAAATCTCCATATAACAGCATTAAACTTCGGATGATCATATCTTGGTCATACGAACTCTGAATCGACCCGTTCAAGTCTCCTAATGTTTGTTATAACCTAAAGAACCGTGTACTTTCTTTTTATGTATTGTTATCGCTTCTTTATAGGCTTGTAGCTTTGCTTGTGTGCTTCGCGTAGCTTCTGTCGTTCCGGAGGTTCCAGAAGCGTGGTTCGCGGTCGTCGCCGAAGGTTCGGAAGGCCGTTCTCTCGGAGCAAGGCAAGTCACATCATCCTTGAACATATTGAATCCCAGTTTATAAAATTATTTTGATTTAAATTATTGCATTATCGCTCCGCGTTATCACTGTTTTATTTAGCCATGTCTATTTACCTTTGTTATGACCTTAATATTATTGTTATTGATATTATTACCTTGTTCACCCTAGATTAAACAAAACCCCAACTAGTGGACACTCTACTCTTGGTACCACTGGTATGAATTTAGGTAGATGCTTCGCTGGCTAATTAGACAACATTAGGTGGTTTTATAACTTTAGACTTGGGGAATTCTCATATCACTTGGATACTATGGAATGGTTGGCTTATGGTGGAATTGGACATACCCCTCTCTTCCTCTTTCAAAACCCCTAAAACCTGTTTTCCGGTGGGATTTGGGTGCATGCCAGTTGTGGGAAGTAACACCCCGGCCAATATAAGGATTAAGCTCGGGCCTCTGTTGCAAAGCACTACCGTACTTCCACATGTCTAGTGGGTAAGGCTTAGTTTGTAGCTCAGTCTGGTTATAAACAAAAGTACACGGATGGAGATGGACGAAGTCGGGGGTCGATGGACATCTCTAGGACAAATGAAGGCTACAGGAGCTGCGGCCTGGTAGTCGAGATGTCATGGCACAGGGCTGGTGTCCTGCTGCTAGGGGGCTCAATCCTGCCTGCCTGTCCCGGGGGTTCCGGCCGTAGGTGGGGTTGGGTCGGTACTCTTGTTTATGGCTAGGATGGGTTGGGAACTATGTCACGTCTTCCGTCCGTATACCGTGGTGGTATGTGGCACGTGGTTACACGTGAGGAAGATGTGTCTTGTGGGTAAAGATGTACACCTCTGATCAGAGTATAATCTATTCGAATAGCCGCGCCCTCGGTTATGGGCAAGCCGAGCAATGTACCCAAGTTAGGGTTTTAATTCTTAAAACCTGCTTAACAACTAAAATGTGGAATGGTTGGCCTGGGT